CGCCCATTAAATGAAAATTGTTCCTGGGCCAATTTTACCATAATGCGGGCTTATTTTTTAAGAATTTCTATTTTTGTTATAAAAAAATTAAAAAGTTAATTCCTGCCGGAAATTAATAACCAATTTTGTAATGTGGGTCAAAATTTCGAAGATCCTCGGCCGTTAGCCAATCAAAATCGAGGATCTGCCGTCCAAATTTGTTGCGGCAGCTATGGTTAATAATAGGGACAGGCGCGAATATTACAAGTAAAGAAAACATTTTCACTCAATCCCTTCCATTAATGCTCAATAATCAGATTTTATTATATCTTAGTACGCTATATACATTTTTATTGATTGTATACTATTTTAATTAGTAAGTTTATTCACTAATTTCAGAAATGCTAAGTTCTATCATTTCATTTAAGTTTCAATAAGTCTTATTAATATTTTTTTATATAAAATAGTATTTACATTGTGTGTCAGGAAAATTAAAAAAAAAGGGGGAAGGGAAAAAAGCAGAAAATTTAAAAATCCAACACTTGAAAATCTTATTATTTAAAAAAAAACTGATAAATAAATGGATAATAAAAGTTAAGAAAGATACGTTTTGATATTTACGCTAAATATCTTTAAATCCATTTGTATGAGTTTTATGATACATCCATGCACTAGCAACAATACTTTCTATTGTATTATATTTCCTTTTCCATCCAAGAATTAGTTCTGCACGCGTAGATTCAGCAATTAATATCGCAGGGTCACCAATCCTACGAGCTTCCACTATATCTGGAATTGAGTGACCGGTGACATTTCTAGCAGCATTGATTACTTCTCTAACCGTATATCCTTCTCCAGACCCTAAATTAAATAATTGTGATTTGTTTTCTCTTATGAGATACTCGAGCGCTCTGATATGTGCGGTAGCAAGATCAGTAACATGTATATAATCTCGCACACAAGTTCCATCTTTAGTATCATAATCATCACCAAAAACACTAATACTATCTCTTTGACCAAGAGCCACTTGAAGGGTAAGCGGTATTAAATGAGTTTCGGGATCATGATCTTCACCAATATCACCACTTTCGTGAGCACCACATGCGTTAAAGTATCTTAAACAAACATATTTCAACCCATATGCATTTTCTGACCAAGCAAGTATCTTTTCGATAATAAATTTAGTATCAGCATAAGGACTGATTGGTTCCGGTCGAGCATCATCTGTAATTGGCATTTCTTTTGCATTTCCAAAAATTGCAGCGCTAGATGAAAAAATAAAGTATTTGACATTGTGTTTTTTCATTGCTTGAAGCAAATAAATTGTTCCCACTACATTATTCTCGTAATATTCTAAAGGATCAACTACACTTTCTCTTAAAGAAATTGAACCGCAAAAGTTCATTACAGCATCCGGTTTATACTTAGAAAATAGTCGATCAAGAGCTCTCTTGTCACGAACATCGGCATTTTCGAATTTGATTCCATTGGGAATTGATTTTATATGACCTTTAGAAAGATTGTCAAAGATAATAATTTCGTAAGCCGATTGAGTCGAAAGTTCTCGAACAAGATGAGAGCCAATATAGCCAGCACCACCGCAAATAAGAATTTTCTTAGTCTTTAAATTTTCATAAAACATGCGTCAGATACAGATAGAACTTTAATAGCTTTCATAAACAATAAGATGCACGTTTTCACACCCATACTGGAGAATTCCTAACCCGACACTATAATCTCGACATTCAACATCCAATATTCAGCATCCCGATGAATTAAAATTTATAACTTTTTGTAAAAATTATGTAAACTCAATTTTAATACTGTATAAAGAGAATTATTAAACGGTCGGGATACTGAATTAAAATAGCTGGATGGATTTCTGAATTGTCAATATTTGTTTTTCGAAATTATAGCACCTTGATTAGATTATGACAAATTTATAAACCTACTGTTATTCAATGATAATAATGTGTTATTAGTACCTATCTCGAATTAAGATTTAAACTACGTATCAAATTTTAATACCTTCATTTGATTTTCCCTTATATAATGATATAGGAACCGTAATATAAAATTCTTTTCCCATGTAATATCCCGTCGTAAGTAAAGTAAGTGTAATGACTGCGAGCAAGATTAACTTATTAGATGTTGTTAAGAACTTCATAATTGGCTTTTTTTGCGTTGAGCTAGATATAAAATGTATAATAGAGATGTTGTGTTATATTATGGAAAGTCTTTGCAATAGAGTTGTTGAGCGAAGTTCATTAATATCTAACTGTTATATATCATAATCGTGTGGTGGGAATATTCCATGACTACATATGTCGTAATGATTTGTCATTAACTTTTCGATTAATAATGTATTACAGTCAGACCTCCCTAAATGCACGTCGTCGGGACCAGCTCTGGAGCGTGCATTTAGAGAGGGTTGCAATTGGAGAACACTAATAAAATCATAATGTTACTATTTTCATGTAATAAATATAGCTTTAGTAGCCTAGAAATGATGAATTTGATTGGCTAATAATCACGCGGTTGCATTCATGGAGGGAGTTTATATAAGTGGGCCAGACAATTAGCGTGCAATTGCAGAATAAAGAACGTGCATTTATCTATAAGTCCCATTATGGGGCTAATCTTCTATCGTGCATTTAGAGAGGGGTTGCATTTAGAGGGGTTGCATTTAGGGAGGTCTGACTGTATATCTAAATCGGGTAAAGGATGGGAATATTATAAATTGTATAAATATAATCATTTAATTAATAAAGTGGAAGGAAGAGAAAAAGTAGATAAAGATAGGAATTACGAGTTATATAATACAAACATTGTTAATGAATGTACTTTCTTTGTCCAACCATTATTAAATCGAATCCCTTAATAAAATATTCATCCCGCATAACTTATTATTATATGCAGTGCCAAAGCTAACTTATTTATCGCTCTCCCATTTCTGGACACTAACGCTAACGCCAAGTGTCCCGTGAAAAAAAAAGTCTGATCGACAGCTGAAATCCAAGTTTTACCCAGATTTGAATTATAATGATATTTAAATAAATAAGCTAACGCTACTGTAAGTATGCAAGTACATGCTTGTTTAATATCGATATAGGCAAAGTAGCTTTTTCTATATTTATGCAAATGGAGCCCCTGAAATTACTATCTTATAAGCGAGAAAAACAAAAAACAGTAAAAAGATTTAAGGCTGTCTTCTGATTTTTTTTTTTTTTTTTTAGAACATATGTTGTATTTTTAATAAAATTTTAACATATAATTTATAATATGATCTTCTGTGAGTTATACCACGTATTGTAGAAAATAGAAACAATTACTTTTCTATAGTGCCATTTGGATAACTAGAGATGAGCGTTGTTTTCATATTTATTGGTTTAAGCATTGTGGTCTAGTATAAATGTATCCAATTTCCTTATATTGTCCATTTTATTTTATAAAATTTTCCGTCATTGATATATTGTGAAAACCATGTTTTTAATACCCTAAAAACTATAAATTGCTTGTTTGCTCTTTAATGATCTTATAGAATCTAGTAATATATTTGGGAAATAATCAACTATTCGCAATAGCTTTAGCTTTCGTTATACGATTAGATAAATTAATATTATATCAGAAAGTAAATATAACAAATATCACATTGATAAAATTTTTAATTTTCTTTTTATTTAAATTTTTTTCACAACTCTATGCTAGGCCGGCCTAATAAATAAATAAATAATCGATCAGATCTCTATAAGCGGACAATATTACAAATCAATCCCGAAAATGCCCATAAAAATAGAAAAGAAAAGATCCAAAGATCATATTGCCTAACCAAATGCGAAGAATCGCTGACTTACAAGATTGAATATGATACGTAGTAAAATCATCTCATTCGTTTTCTTCTTTAAAGCTCCCTAGATTCCAATCTAACAGATATTTCAAAAAATCAATCGTCTCATAAATTTTTGTAGATACAAATATTAGAGATAATGATCAAACCAATTTCTGTCTGCCACATATAATAAATCTTGTCAGAAGTTGAACCAAAAAAAAAGTGATAACTTCATGTTCCAAAACATTTGGAAAGTAAAAACAAGATACTCAACAATGTTCATTGTCTTATTGGAATTTTTTTATAAAATAATAAACTTTATTTAAATTAGGGCCATAAGTTTTTTTAATTTTCCATTATAATCTATGCTATATACCATTAAAATTATAATCTATGTTACGTTAATATTAGTAAAAAGTTGCAACATCTTTCCTAACATGTCGCAATTAGATTGCCTCATCAATTAACTTCATTGCCATCACCATCACCTACATTGCTTTCTTCGGCTTCATTATGGTTAACATTCTTGCAAATATAAATTTTAAATTCAATGTTTAGTGTATATAATAAATGTAAAATAATATAAATGTTTGTGTCGAGTCGAGTGGTATTACAAGTCCTCAATTCGCTCATTCACTACACGTATTTACTAGCTTATATATTCCAACACTCGGAATATACGAACAGTTTTTGCGAATGTTTACTTTTACAGTGATAATGTAAATGATATTGAATTTGAAATAAATGTCACACGATTACATCAAATTGAGCACATTTATAAGAGTATCGTGTTACTGTGTAATACATGACTTTAGAGTGTTACCTGTTCTAAAAGATCTTTTTACTATTAATTTCAATGAAAGTCTATTTTCGTCAATACAATAAAAAAGAGTATTTTCTCTCATTTAGAAGTATAAGAATGGTATTTCGACAGCTTATTGTTTGAGTGACTTTTAAAATAGACTATCTTAAGATATATAAAGTCTAGAATATCATTATGTAAAGTTCTCGTCCATTTTTTGTGGATTTCGCAAGCAATTAATAAAATATGTCTAGTAATGTATCTAGTAAGTTACAATTTTTTAGTTAAATTTTTTTATCATCATTATTCTTAGATACTGTATGATACAATGCGAGATTTAACGATTTTTAATAACTTTAATGGTTTTTGCACAAAAAATCGAATCATGAATTTTAGTCAAAAAGCATAAAAAAAAGATATTAGAACACAATTTGGACACTAATAAATAAAATGCTATGAAGTAATTTTATCGATGATACTTGTGTAATATTATTAATGTAAAACATTAGGCATTTTAATTATGGTTAATCTACTATAAAAATTCACTTTTTATAGTATATAATGCGTACACTTTTTAAATGGTTACTAAGTTTATAAACCTTCTAATAGAGTACCTCCATAATATATATTTCCACATATGAAATTCTGCCTATATTTCTACGCAGATGCATTTATTAATTGTTTTAAATTATAATAATTTATGTAATCAAATATTAATACAATATTATTTTTTCTTTTAACATTTAGATTTTTCTGAAGAAATTGCAGAGCAAGCAGCTTGTTATGGATTACCTTACGGAATTTTCGGTGTAATTTGTTGGTTCTTATCACTTTGTAGCATTTCTTTAACAAAAGTAAGATTCCCACTATTTTCACCATGGTTGTGGTTTGAATATTATAAAGCTCAAAATCCAATCATGGCAATCATCGTAACTGTCATGACTATAGGACCAACTATTTATACATGCATTCATTGTCATGGAGAATGGATGATTGTACTTATTGCACTCGGTCAACTTACTCCATGGAGTCTTAAATTTTTATATGATGCATGGTATGAAGAAATAGAACCTGAAGAAATAAATCCAGTAGCAATAGATCCCGAAAATTTAGAAAATAAGAGACCAAGAATAATAGTTGATATATATGAACTTATTGGTTCTTACTTGGGACTATTGTTATCTGCTTCTGGTTGGGTTGGATTGACTGTAATAACTGTTAATTTATTGGACTTAGAAAGAGTTATAGGTAAATGGATATTTGCAATATATGGTGGTCCCCTTTTAATATTAATGATAATTTATTGTTGCGTAAATTGTAAAGGCAAAATTTGTTTTTATCTTCTCTTGAGCATTCATATAATTGGTTCGCATATAATTCTTGCTATAGTTTCTAATAACTTAATTGGAATTCCTGCTGGGATTGAAATGATTTCTGCAATTGTTTTTTTTATTGGTAAACGTTTTCTATTTGTAAACTTTCATAGTCATTGCTTTTAAATTATTGTATTTTTAGGGTTAATTAAATTGAAATAACGATAAATACTATTTGATTATTGATGCTTGATGAACAACAAAACTTTTGTAACATTGTTCGAAATGAAGCGGCGCACTGAAATCCAACGGATATCATAACATTATTTGTATTATATAGTTATTGCACACGGAGCATGCAATAACGGTTTTATTTTATGCTTTACTATTTCAGATTTATGAAATAGTTCAATTATTTTATCATTTAAAAATACCATAAAATAATTGATTTATTTTATAAACTGATCATAGTGAAGTATTAAATAAAATACAATATTTAGTAGCCAAATAAATAAATTGTTAGGATAAAAATAAAAGTTATAATTAGAGTTAGAGTTAGAATTAGGGTTGGGTTAGAGTAAAATTAGGGTGGTGCGCATTTCGCCGACAATCACTTCACCGACAGCTTAATTCACAGACAATTACAGCTGTTTTCATAAATTCCGAGACACCTAAAAATTTTCTCGTTTCCCGGAATATTTTCGGTTTCGTCCGGTAAATTACCCAGCTCTCTGGAAACTACATCGTTATTTTCGAACCTTTAGTCCGGAGATAGTGATGTAGTTTCCGGAGAGTTAGATAATTTACCGGACGAAACCGAAAAGATTCCGGGAAACGAGAAAATTTTTAGGTGTTCCAGAATTTATGAAAACAGCTGTAATTCACCGACAAGTTCATTTCACCAACAATCCATTTACCGGCAAGTTCATTTCACCGACAGTTATTTCACTGACAGCTCATTTCACCAACAAAGTGACTCTGGTCATTTTGGTAAGGTCAGGTTAGAATTAGAGTCAAGGTTAGTGCAGTTTATAAAAGATAATTGATGGTCATATAATTTTTTTTAATAATCGGACATTTTTTAGGATTTTCCGGTGAAATAACTATCGACTTGTCTGTAAATTGATTGTTGGTGAAATGAACTTGTCCATGAATTAATTGTCGATGAACTAGGGTGTCGGTGAAGTGATTATCAGTGAAATGAACTTGTCTATGAATTATGATAATTGTCGGTGAACTAGGCTGTCGGTGAAGTGATTGTCGGTGAAATAACACGTATCCAATCTTTTTTTATAAAATTGTATTTATTTAAGTTTAAATAAATTTTATATAAATTTCATATTAAATAATATATAAAAGTTAATATATATAATTTTTTATATATATAGTATATATATATTCTATATAATATCTATATAAAGTTGTAGATCAGATTTTATAAAGAAACAACTTGCTGATGCGGTATGCAAAAATGAAAATTCTCAATACTACCTATGGTATGAATGAACTTATGCCACTTGTAATCAGTGTTATAAATTCAAAAAATTTTTATTGGCGCAAATGCAAAAAAATGTGCACAAAAAAAAAAAAGTTATACGCGCGCTATATATACAGAGAGCACTATTATACGCGCAAATTTAAATCTATGTACGCTGCGCCTACTGCGCGAACCCAATTTACATCACTGCTTGTAATAATCGAATATAAAGGTACAGTACATTACCATAATAATGAACTAAAATGCAAATGTAAACGCATTTGCAAGTATCATCAATAACGTATTACGTTATATTTTTTTTATATTAAAGGGAATTGATATTCGTACCCAAATTATTCAATATATAATCAAATGTATCCACCTACAAATATATATTTATCGTGCAAACTCTTATGATCATAGATTTTTTTCTTCTTGTTATTTTTTGTACGTTATTACATAATCGCAATAATCTCGAATTAAAACTCAGTTAGCCAATAATGACTTGTAAATCATGATCATAATTGCGATGATAAATATCATAAAATTTGTTCTGTCAGAACAAATGATTGGCTGAAATGTGACGCTGCGCGGCACATGTCAGCCAATCATTTGCTCCGACAAAACAAATTTCATGATATTAATCGTTGCATGACCAATATCTTATACATACGCATCAATTTCTATTATTCGGAAATTTAAAAGCACTACTATTTTATATACATAGAATAAAGACCTTCTTTATTACTGTATTGGGAAAGTGCTATAGTTACCCTCCATTATTCATGCAATATTGTACGTAATACATGATGATCAACCAATCGATCGTCATAACTATTTGTAATAACTTTGTGCTATGCATAAATTTTTTACCGTACTTACATTGTAAACTAAAATATGCAAATTACTGTGGCTAGAATTTTATTTCGCAAAAGTAGATGTAATCTAGTGAAACTTTTTAATGCTAATAAAAGTCATTATAAATTTTCGGCGGTTTTAGGTCACACAAAAATAGATGGATCACGTCATTTGGCGATAAAGAATAATATATAACAAAGTAATGAAAAAAAAATTGTTTACAGTATTAATTTATGTGTCGATTCATAATTTCTTCTTAAAGTTTTGCGAGTTGTTATAGTACTTTTTGAGTTCTTACCCTTCTTCTATTAGATAATTTCATAAAATTTTACGCTTTAAATATAACTTTTTTATCAATAAAACCCTTTGATTGTTACAACGACCGCGTTGATAAATCATGTCTCTTTCAAGTCAACAACGACGACAACGACGACAACGACGAGGTTTTTATGTGACCAAGGCATGCACAAATTGCCAAAAAAAACATACAAAATGCTCTGGAAGAGTACCTTGTGAACGTTGTACGCTACGTAATCTTGAGTGCACTTTTATTGATTCGGGCAAAAAGCGTGGGCCGAAGACGAATGGCAACCTCCTAGAACAAGTCTATGTTTTTAACGGTCCTGAAAATGACTTTAATGGATCATCTACGCTATCCTCCGTGTTCCTTAACTCCATACAGGGTCACGCATTAACTCTATCATCTTCACCTGGATATCCCGATAATATTGATGAGGTTACTCTTTATTCTAATTATTATGAATACCCAAATATTCATTCTCTTTAAGAAGTCGGTCCCCTTTTCTTATCAAACATGTACTGATACTGGATACGTTATGCAAAATAACAATCTTATAGATTAATAACAATATTGTCTTTTTTTGATCTATTCTCTGATAATAATTATATGTTGTCAATTCACAATTAAGCATTGTTGTTTTTGTCATTTCTGATAATCCAAAATTTTCGCAACTGAGCCGTTATTTTTATATTGACATTTATAGCTTCAATGATTTTCGAATAAATTATCAATCATATTGCTTTATTGAAGTGTACGCAGCAAAAGATAGAAGAAGCGAATGATATGATGCTTCTATTTATTAAGATTATTGTTTTTCTTTATTAACTGATGTGAATAAAATAACCAATCTTACCAAAGCTGATAGCCTTCTATATTTGATAAAAATCCACGGTGTCTATTTCATATTTCAAATCCGATAACCTGCATTTCTGATAGCAAATACTAATAAGGCAATCAATCGTAGGGCGTTTACCGCGTAAAATTTTTTCATAGTCCCGGGTCAAACTACGTTTATTCATTATCTTAATGCCGGCTGAATTAAATGGTTATCACGGTTAAGAAAATTTTAGGCGGTTCCAATCTCTAATCAATCAGAAAGTGTAAATTCAGAGTCATGTGTCAGTATTTAAACTGATGGTTGACAATCTTTATACGTTATATCAACCCTCAATATAAAATACAATCGAACATATAAATCTGCACATATCCGAATAAATTCGCAAGTAATCATATGGGCAGATTTTTTTGTTTTGGTGATTATTAAAAATTAATGATGAAATTCATAAAATTTAATCCAATCATTTATGTGATCTTGCGTGGTCTCCAGTAAAATTAGGGATGTTAAACAGCTCGGTTTAGCGGTTTTAAATTGGTTTGAGTCGAGCTTTTTTAGGTCGACTCCAAGTCTACTTCAAGAACCAAATGATATTTGAATAGATAGCGGTTTTCAATTTATACTACAATGTGAAATTTTATGTGCATACTTAAGTATGTACTGTACATTGAAACCAATTATGCTTCTCTCATCATATGATTTTTTACTTGGTCTAAGTCTGATATTTCTCGACTTCTGGAGTTGAATCAGTTTGATGATTGTATTTGATTGGTCATTTACTTGCCTTAGCTATAACGCAGAAACCGCGTAGTAATTATAAATCATCATTGTATTTAATTGTTTATGAAACTGATCATGAAGGCGCATAGTATTTATAAATTATTTTATAGATCATTTATAAATCATTGCGTATATCATTTAATTTCAAAATAATCACAACATCCCCATCAAAAATTTTCGCCCGTATGTATCGGAGAACAAAATTTTTTCAATTTTTTTATAAAAGTTTGTTTGATGTTACTGGCATCCGACAAATTTAATCAGATAGCAGTAAATAAAAATTCAGTATAAAAAACACATCAGATGATTTTTAACTATACCTTCATCCGGGATTTTTAATTTATTTTCTTGATTTTTTTATGAACAAAATCAAGATCTTACGTTCAAGATTTTTTAAAATTAATTTTAAATTAATTTTTTTTTTATTTAAATTTCTTTTAAATCGAATTAATTTTGTTGTTATTTTATCCATATTTTTCGTTTCAACATTTATCATTATGATAATTATCTTCACTGATCCTAATTGTGAAATGCTATACAGATGATTTTCGTTCTTTGCAAATTATTAAATTGTAATGTTCGTACATATATGTAACGATAAATTTAAAATGTGTTAACTGAATTGTACAGAAAGAAATCAAAATCGGTTGTGATTAGAGATAGGTTTCATACGTGCGCATGATTCCTCAATCATGCGCATTTATCCCATCTAAATTTTATATAGGAAAATTAAAGTATATTTAATTTAGGCCAAGGTGTATAATGCCAGGCAAAATTAAGAAATAGGAATGCAAAAAGTTTGAAAAATTCCAAATGAACATAAAGACGAGAGGGAAAATTTTGGCAAATATCCGATATTTTCCGGAGAAAAAATATAAAAGCAAAAAAAAAATTTTTATCATACGATATCATGCGCATTTTATATAATGTGCGCATTCTTATTATAAAGTGCGCATTTTTCCCATCTCTAGTTGTGATAATGGGGAAAATGGGCTAGACCCACGAGAAATGGGTTAGACGCATTGTTATTATAGATTGGAGCGCCGATAATTTTTAGGGATTTATTCTTTAAAAATCAATAATAAATTTGGTCCCAAACTTAAATTTGGAGATAAAAAATCAGGTAGGTTTGACAATCGCACCGTAATGATTAATTTAATATTATTTAAAGCTTATCTAAATATTTCATTGTCTAAAGAAGACCATTTTGGTAGCATTTGCTTTTCCAAACTTGTTTCCTCCTTCTGTAGATTTCATTTCATCTAGAAAAGCTCATATGCCATATTGATAATAATGACCAAGGTTGTTTTGTCCAAAATATACCCTCCCTTTGCTGACTTCAAATACCATTTGAAAGCCTTCTTTTTATCTATGAAATTTCCTACACCAAGCCGATAACAATAACCAAGTCTCCTCCTTCTGTAGATTTCAAATGGCCTTCTTTTTATCCATGGAAGCTCCTGTGTCGTGTTGAGAACAATAACCAAGATTGTTTTGTCAAGAATTATATCCTCCTTCTGCAAATTTCAAATACAATTCGAAAGCCTTCTTTTCATTTATAGAAGTTCCTATTCCGCCTTTATAATAATCACCAAGGATATTTGTCCCCCACTATCTCCTTCTGCAGATTTCAAAAACCACTCAAAAGTTAGCTTTCAGTTGGTTTGAGTACTCTTTCCATCACGGTAACAACAAACTAGCCTATATTATTCTTTGCAATTCCCTCATTCTGCTGATTTTACATAATACTCAAAAGCTTTTGCATAATCTGCTAAGTTTCTATGCTTAAGTAATAACAATAACCGGTATTGGAATATCCTAAATATTTTCCATTTTCAGCAGATTTTTTATATACCGTTTCAAAGCCCTTTCTTTATCAATAGAGGTTCCTTCGCCAAAGTAAAGACTATATCCAACTGTAAGTTGTGCTCTTGCATTTTCTTTCTCTGCATATTTTAAGGTCCAATTAAATGCATGTAATTGAGTTTTAATAATACCATAACCATAATAATAACAATCTCCGATATAAGATTCCAGATATTGAATCTTTGGCAACTAATTTTAAAAATAAATGTAGAGCCTTTTGTTGATTTGCTATAACTCCTTTTCTATGAATATAAAATAAACTAATAAACTAAGATAAGCCAATCCAATAAGCTGATTCTCTTTTAATAAATCATTTAGCTTACAGTATTTGAAGAATTAAAATTTTCAGCAACTTGTTTATACATTTCAAATACCTTATGGTAGTCAATAGTTGTTCCAATTCCGTGTTCATGAAAGAATCCAATAAAACTTGTAAAATAATATTTAAACTGTAATTATTATATTGCTTGAAAATATCTTCCGGTTTTTTGTTATTTTCGACTATAGATTTTTTTAAGAATAGATTATTGAACTTTTTGAAACATTTAAAATGCCTTGAATGTTAAATTGAGTTATAATAATTGGTTTACAGGTCTAAGTCATAAGGAAATTTCTGCTTAACATCAATTCTATTTTGTTTACTTGCATTAGCTAAAGAACATGAAATTGGTTTGATAATATTTAAAGTTGACAAAGAACTTGTTAAATTCAATAAATTATTCTGGACACTAAATATACAGTTTCCATTTATAACGTTAATAATTGAGGAAATTATTCTTTTTCTGTCTTATCATCGAACTTGAATTTTCCAATTCTGATATTAATTGATATTTCTCATTCTCTAAATATTTTCTATCAGAAATTATATTATTATAGTTAATATTAGCTAAATTATTAAAGATACATAGAATAGCTGTTCGTTTATTTGGATCATGCTACCAGCAATCAAAAAAAAACCAAATATTTTACATTAATGAGCCACATAAAAATTCTTCACCTGTATATAATTTTTGGCCGTTCCAGGTACTGCAACTTCACGTTTAGTATTAACAATTGCACTTAATAGACTGGAAATACAATGTAATTCGCTTTTAAATGGAATAATTCCACTTGAAATCTCCCAAAGAACAATTCTAATATTATATACAGTGTATCTGAGCTTTTGTTAAATTTGTAAGTTTCAATATTTTATAAATATTGAGGACCTGTATATTTAAGTATACTCGGAAATGTGTTCTGATTTTGAAATATTCGAATCTTAATATTTCCTTTACTGACGAATATTTTTCTGAAATTCTAAATAATCCAAAATAATAATTTGGTATTTTATAATAATTATTAAAAACTGAATAAATTTTGAAATAAAAAGATTACCAAGTTTAAATGAACCATATCTGTCATGTAAGCACTTTATAGCAATAACAAGCTTTCTTACAAGTGGTAACTTATCATTCCAATTGATTTTATTAAAATTTGGTTTAAATATTGACAAAGTGTTCCGTCAAAAGCGTACTCATGGAGGAATATAAACCTTGCTTAATAACCATTATAAATTTTAAAATGTTTTAATGTGAGTCTACTGTTTCACAAAGAAAATTATATTAATATTATTTTAGCAATAATAAATTTTAATGTTTTTTACTAAAACAGTAATCTGAAACTTACATCACTGACAAAATCTCCTGATGTGTACTTTTGAAAGAAAACAAGCTTGCTTAAAACCATAGTTTTATTATATTTTTTGAAAGAACTTTACAACTATCACTGGATATCGTCATATCATCAGTTCCAAGAAATATATTATGGGATTTACCTATTCAATTTTTCAATTTTTAAATGTTTCAATTTCATTAAATTTGTTTTTAAATCGTTGAATCATGTTTAAATACTTAATAATTGGATCATAAATTGTAGTGTACAAATTTTTATTGTTATATGGTTCAGTCACCTGTGGCTAGAGATGGGCACTCGCGGGATTTTTAATATGCTCATATCATCTGGCTGG